GGAACAGGTAACAGAACCAGTGGATGAGTTTGCAAATGCATTAAACAGAATTGTGAGGATCCTTTGTCCTCACTTATGAATCACAACTGGAACCAGTAACTCCATCATTGAGTTCTGTGGTCGCTAGGTGGAAAATCCTATGACCATGACACCTTTATATAGCTTTCCATTCTGTCATTTAAGAAAATCATCAGTGGGAACCAGAACCAAATTACAAGTCCTCTGGAATGACTAACCACCTCTCATCGCATCTCCCACAGTTCATTGACATGGAAATATAACCCCACGCTACATTTGATCACAAGGTTCCATGACCCACCTTTTATATTCCACTTAGAGCAATTAGCACTCCAATAAATTCCAAACTTATGGGGGAAGAGCCTGGAACCTACCACTACTGGTCACATCCATTCCAATCACTCTACTCGTCTCTCTCATTCCAACAATCCCCACCTCAACCACTTTCTCCCTAAGGTTCTAGGGCAGCGGGAATCAATAACTCTCTATATGCTGTACTTTGTTGCTGGTGAAACATTTCACTCCTCATCTCTTCAAGGCCCCAGAGGATTGTGACCTTAATGGGTAATTTATATAACATTTTAGTTTGATTCCATTTTGTCCATTAGCTCTTTATAGTACTGATGTTTTGTGGGATGTTGCTATAGTGATTTGAATAATACTTGGGACGTATTGCTTTCTGAGATGCCTGACAGATTGGTATTGCTGCCAGATGGGCCTTCTGCACAGCAGAGTTTCCACTTGGGTTTTTTTTTTTTGTACCTTTGTACCAGTCTTGTTTCCTGGCAATTGCCAGCACCAGTCCCTGCAGTTTTCTTGGCAAGATTTTTCAGAAGTGGCTAACTATTATCTGCTTCCTAGGGTTGAGAGAGAGAGAGTGACTGGCCTAAGGCCACCCACCTGGGTTTGTGTTTAAGGCAGGATTAGAATTCATGATCTCCTGGATTCTAGCCTGATGCCTTGATTGCACCTAACTAGCTCTCATTTTTTGCCATCTACTACAGCACAAATTTAGAGTTACATTTTTTTAAGAGAAGTATATAAGAAATACAGCAAGGCACATGAATTTAAAAATGAACCTTTATTTTCAAGCCAACTTCTTAATACAAGAGAGATATCCTTTAGGAAGAGAGATTTTTATAGTAAAGATCTTCCAAATGTCTATAACTAAAAGCCAACTTCAAGAATGGAAAATATAAATATCCAGTTGATGTATTAAATGAGCAAATTTACAAGGTGTTTGACTAGAAATGCTTTTCTTTAAAAAGAACACTTGCAGCTGTATACTTATGAAGGAAGTACGTTTTTTCACAAGGCTGCAATTGTAGATCAATCTGTGATGGGTTTAATTTAATACATTCAAGTGAAATTGTCTTGGCTCTCCCAACTATTTGATTCAGATTTATGAATGTATTCATACTAGGCAATATACAAGAAATGTTGCATTATAATGTCAAAGGTGAGGGCAATAAGTAATACTGTAATGCTGCAAGGCCCCCAAGAACTAACTGTGGAATTATTTCTGAATAGTCTCCTTTATTGGTTTTTCACCTATAAACAGAATCTTGCCAGGCTAAAGCAAGTATTTGCATAACTATAGATATACTGTGGGAACTGCTAGGGAAGAGTCATTTTAACCCTCTTTTGGCTGGCTAAATTTTCCAGTTTCCACTGCCTGTTTGTTCTCTAGAAAGCAGTCCCTGCTTCCTGGGAATCCAGTCCATCACAAATGTCAAATTTGTACTTTAATGTCTGTCTTACTTGACCTCTGTGCTAGTGATAAAATCATTAGTGTTAATCATTATCAAAAAGTTGAGTAATCAAAGCACTTGTTTAATCTTTTTTTCTACAGTGATTATGCTTGGCAAGACATAGTAAGTAAGCCATAAAGTACTTACTAAAAGGCTCTTGCTGAATTTGTAGAAATGTGACACTGGGCAGCAAGGCACAAACTATGCCTTTTAAATAACATCAACAGATGGCAGAGACAGTAGAAGCATAAAGGCAAGCTAAATCCATTCCTAACTTGATGCTTTCTTCCGTTCACTAGGACAGGGATTTAATATTTCCTTTCACCTGTTTATTTCTCACGGATATAGTCTGAGTAACATATTTAGACAACTGCAATTAGTGTAATAGGGAGCTTAGACCATCCCATGCCTTAAATTATGATTCATAGGGAGTAGCATAGTTCCTTAGATAGAATTGCATCCAATTTGTTTTAAGATGACTTAACTTTTATCATGGTGCGATCTCAACTCTTCTAGCCACTAGATCAGTCGTATCCAACCCGTGATCTCTGGGCTGCATGCAGCCTTGGACCGCTAGTAATGCAGTCACACAAGATACTAACTTTTTAACATTATTATATCATTTATATATACTAATTATATTATACATTTTATATGTGGCCCAAGACAATTCCTTTTCACTCAACACTGCCCAAGCAAGCCAAAAGATTGGACATCCATGCTTTAGATAGAGAATGGAGCTACAAAACGCTATTCAACTCTCAGCATTTCCACTACTCACAGGAAGTGAAAGGGGGACACCAAAAGGATAGGAGTGGGAGATCAGCCACATACTTCTCCAAAACAGTGTGATGCCAAATCAGGCCCTACATTGTTTTCCAAGCTCATTAACACATGTATATGCATCATCACTAAAACACATATGGTAATTATTGGCTGTTGGTTTGTTCTCCAAGCTTGGCAATTTGGCTGCAAACATTTCATTTCCATTCCGGGGTGGGGCAGGGGGGACATCTTCAGTGCGCTTTGAATTGTGCTCGTCTGTCAGAGCACTGGCCTTTAAATACCTTTTTGTGTGATGTGAATTGGTGTGGGTGTTATTTGTCCAGATGTTTCTGAGTCATGGTCTAGTTTCGGGCTGTTTGGCTGGTTGTTGTTGCTGGGCGAGAGTCTTTGGTGTTTAAGTAGCGTCTGTGTGATGCAAATGGTGTTTGTTCGTTTGGTTGCTTCCTAGTCATGGTCTGGTTTCGGGATGTTTGGCTGGCTGGCTGTTGTTGAGATGTGGTCCGGTTTCTTGTGGGAGGTTGTGATTTTTGTTGCTGTGTGGTGGGGTGCCTGTTTGTTTTAAATGCTGCCTTTGGGATTGAAGTAGTTCTTTTGTTCTCCAATAAGTCAATAAACAGACACATTGACATCAACCCAATCTACTAACCAATGAGAACGAAAGAACTACTTCAATCCCAAACGTTTGCAGCCAAATCGCCAAGCTCGGAGATCAAACCAATAGCCCAACTATCAACCTGAGCTACTAATATTCAGACACATCTCATGGTCATTATTATCCAGTTTTCCTATAAAAATGGCTAGAATAACAATTAATGTGGGAAGCAATTAACATATTAATTCACGATTAATGTGAAACATAACTTAGCATATTAAGAAGCGCAGTTTCCCCAGACTTTCTACAGTATATAGCAGGGGTGTCAAACTGCTGGCCCGCGGGCCGGACGCATCATTCAGAAGCCGCTCTCCCACCCCATTGCCAGCAATGGCAAAACTGTCCCGATACGTTGCGCAGCGTCACGTGATGTCACGAGTTTGGCATGTCTGGCATATAGGATTCAACTACACATTTCTGCATCAGTTACTGCTCTCGTAAGGAACTGTGGTGTCTCTCAACATCAAAGGGGTTTGAATGTGTGGATTATTCCAGATTTAGAGATGTAGTCTAATTACCTACCCTCAGCAAATGCTAACTTTTAAGTTGAGATAAAGTGATGTATAATTCAGAAATGTAATGGGAAACTACTTCTGATTTATTTCCCTGTATACAGGGGAGGTTATAATTTTTGAAGGTAGATTTTAGTTACACTGTACCTACTAGTGCTGAATCATAACATCTTTTTCATTATAAATATACATTTGTGGCATATTTTCTCTATACTCTGTTATGTTTTTAGTATGCCAGCCTCCTCATAATACATTGTTGTTAACGATGAGAATTGTAGCAAGTGTTATTTATACCTGATTTTTCAAGACACAAACTTTCTACATTCCTAGACAAAGATAAAATATTTAATTTTTTTTAAAACCCACAGTATGTATTTTAGAGCAAAAATCTATTTCGTGACCTCTCTAATAAATTTCTCAGCCATTTGTTTAAATTCAGAATAAGTCAGAATTTTTCTTAACAAAGACATGCAAATTGTTTCTTCAGATTAATTAATCTCCATTCATTATTTGCGCAACAGTTAAAAAGTTGCTGATATTTTGTGACAATAACTGAAAAAAAAATCTTCCATTGTCAGGTTATCACTTTCAGGCATTTGAAACTTTCTAGTCGTATGTAAAAAATCTGTACTGCAGATTTTTCTGCTGACATTTGAACTTTATTCAATTAGAACTTGGAAAATTCAACGCAGAGTAAAAGCACTCCTTTCAAAAGACAACCATAAAAAAACCACTTTTAAAAAGCAACTTTGTCTCATTGTTCCTGATACATTACAGGTAGTCCTCAAGTTATAACAATTGAGACCAACATTTCCATTGCTAAAAAAAAGTTAAGTGAGTTTTGTTACATTTTACGACCTTTCTTGCAACAGTTAAGTGAATCACAGCAGTTGTTAAGTTGGTAACACAGTTAAGTGGATCTGTCTTCCCCATTGACTGTTTATCAATGTCGCAAAAGGTAATCACATGACCCCAGGACACTGCAACTATCATAAATACATGTCAGTTGCAAAGCATCTGAATTTTGACCCCAGGGATGCTGCAATGTTTGTAAGTGTGAAAAAAAAGTCGTAAGTTTTTTTAGTGTCGTTGTAACTTCGAACAATCACTAAATGAATGGTTCTAAGTCAAGGACTACTTAGCAGTCTTTTTTCTCCTATAACTTTATTCAATCCTAAATGAACAGAAAACTAACAAAGAATATCACTATTAAATCAGTGTGTCGGAGGTAATAAACTGATAATATAACTATTTTGTATAAATATATAAAAATAAATCATGCAAAATAAATAGGCTTTATTTAATAAGTATAATTTAAGTGACCCAGGCACACAGGCAGATAAAATAAGAGTATCAATTTACATTTTTACACTATTTGTATTGCTTTAGCAATTGTGTGATTTATTTTAAAATAAGAAACCTCATTTTCTTATAAAATGGTGCAAAAGGTTATGCATACATTTCCTCTGGTTTATTCAAAGTTTAGTTTGGCTGTTGTTAAATACATCTGAAATAAGTGTTTTACACAATAAAATACAGCTTTAAATTTTCTATGCTTTTATAGAAAAGTCCAAAGTTTAAGTAAGTTTATGGAAAAGATGGGAAAAGGGTAATAAAACAATTTATAAACCATCCAAAGCAGGGATTAAATTGAACTCGTCTTGGTTGTCTACAGCAGTACTGCCAAAGCTCTCGGTATTTACCTGTTAATTAATACTAGTTTTACTTGCCTTCATAATATCTGATATGTTGAATCTGTGTTTTGTTCAAGATACTCACATCATGCAAGACATTTAATACATGTACAGAAATCTCTTCAGTATTTAAAATACAATGGTTGTGAGAGCAATTAATGATAAGGCTTCTATATAAGTAGCAAACACTTACAAATCCACCAAAACAAAAGCATACAGTTCTCTGTAAACTTCTCTCAAAAACACTGTAATTGCTTTGGTTGCTCCAATAATGACAATGGTTCAGTTGTTCATAAAAATAAATCTATCTTTTGATACAGAATTAGTATTCCTCTCATAAGAGAAATACTATTCCTTTGAAACCGCCAATGACTTTTGAAGATTTTGAGCATTCTGGCTCTGTTTAAATATTCTTAAATCCGTTCAGCACCGGTCCCCGAGACTTATTGCACCTCTGGAAGAAAGCAAACTCAATGTTGTAATTGGCACTGTTCTTGAGTGAGATTCAGCAATCCAGCAAAGTGGCTCCAGTATATTTGAACAGTGGAATAAAGGTGTCCTTGAGTATCATCTGAGACGAGGCCTTTTTACTACAATAGTCCCTGCTACAATATCATACGCTGTTCTGTTATGTTGAAAGAATAACAGAGTAATGAATGCGGGAAAGAAGGAAGCAATAGAAAAATTCTTGATCAAAGCTCGTATTGTAGACCTGTAAGGAAAAAAAACAGACATATCTCTAGAATTTGTTGTCTGTACTGGGGAGTGTAGACAGAGAGGTACATGTTAAAAACAAAAAATCCTCAAAATATTGTCAAATACATCGGTAAGCATGCCTTTTTTCTATTCCTATTCTTCTAATGAATCATTTCTACTTTGAATTAACCAACATTTCTGCAATCACATTTTTTACTTTTGCACAGATACATTAATTTCTAGCGTTTGCTTAATGAACACCATTCTCCTGCCATTATGAAAGAAGATACATCTTCTTAAAATGATATATCTGTAGATTTAATTAATTTTTCTGGATGGAAACTTTACCTTACAAATACCATAGATAGTATGTCAAGCAACATTTTTGCACTGATTGTTAGTGATATCGCTTAAGTCAGTGGTGGCGAACCTATGGCATGGGTGCCAGAGGCGGCACTCAGAGCCCTCTCTGTGGGCACGCGTGCTGTCGCCCCAGTCCTAGGCCTTCAGCTGGGTTTTATAAAACCTTTTCACTTTAGGCCTCCGGCGCCATGTGCAAAAAAAAAAAAAGGTCCAATCAGTCAATTTCAACTTCTCGTGGGGAAAAAAAAAATCTTGCAAAGTTGGAATTGATTGATTGAACTTTTTAGTCCCACCCAGTCTGCCGTTACTACCGCAGCCACGCGCACCCAATGGGCCACGCCCAGGCAATGGGCCATACCCACCCAGCACTCGACGATGCATAAGTGGGTTTTGGGTTGCAGTTTGGGCACTCAGTCTCTAAAAGGTTCGCCATCACTGGCTTAAGTTGTGGTATAGCATTCCAGATAATTTACATAATTATGTTAATGCTGTTGAATTACTTAATCACAGTCTGATTGTTTAGGCAAACCTTGGAGTAGAATTGAATTACTGAAAATATAACTCTTATGATTGGGAATCAACTTAGCAAAGCTGAAGCTGAAATGTGATATAATGAAATAATATAAACGTGCTTTGAGGGAGATAAACATGACTTATTCTTCATTATATGATGTCCCCCAACAGTGGGCAAATAATTCAGATTAATATGTATGAAGAGCTATAAATAATTTTCCCAATTTATTCAGCTATTTATATAATTCACAAATGGCTGAAGATAGATTTATTACATACATTTTTTTTGCCAGCAATGCCTTGCTAGTTTGGTTCACTTTTTTTAAAAAAACACCTCCAAGTCTGCACTGAGTTTAGTCAGGCTGTAAAATATCCTTAAATGTAAAGCTGAAGTAGGGAATAAAAATTATGTAAATCTAATAATATTTACAGTGTGTAGATTATACAACATTACTGAAAACAGCTAAGGATTCATATAAGTATAATATTGCAGTGACAGAAATAAAACTTACGTTGTTATGCTCACATTAGACGATGGAATCACCAATACACGACTTGGTGCTATAAGTACTGATGTATCACATGTCACAACTCGAAGGCCTAGCAGAAATTTCCCAGGTGTTGCGCCACCAGCTCCCCAAATACAAATAATCTGAAAGAAAACATTCTCATAACTAAAATTACATGTTTTACCATGTGTGATAGATCACTAATGAAGGTGTCTTGAGGCCAGATCAATCACATACAATACACATTTGAAATAATGAGATGACTACAGGTTGTCCTCAAATTATGACTGCAGTTGGGAATGAGATTGCCACGCAATTGTAAAGTGCAACATTACCATGATCACATTGCTTTGTAATGGTAATTCAGGCAGTCCCCAATGTCACTGTAATTCAAGATGTGTGAGTCGTCAAATGGGAAACAGAGGGAGACTCAGGTAAGGATTAGGGTTGCTGCAGGGGTACGTGAGGGCCTCGGAGGCCAGGCCAGGAGAGGAGAAATTTGGGGAGATGGTGCTTGGGCGCAGGGTGCAGCATGAGCTCAGAAAAGCCACAGGGAATGAGGGTGCGGGGCAAAAGCGACGGCAGGGAGGCTGAGATGCAGGCATGTGTGCAAGCACGAAGTAGCCAAGGAAAGAGGGCGCAGGGTGCATGTATTCGCAGGGAGGCCAAGGAAACAGGGTGAGGTACATGGAAGCGCAGAGAGGCTAGGAAAGAGCGTGTGGGGGTGTTTGTAATAGCAGAAAGGCCACGGAAAGAGGCCACGGAGTGCATAAATTTGTGCAATCGCACACAGGCCATGGAAAGAGGGCATGTGGTGCATATGATTGCAAGGAGGATGGGGAAAGAGGGTATGGGGTGTGTGCCCGCATGTGTGTTAAGACAGGGAGGCAGAAAAAAGAGGGTGCGAATGTTTGCAAGTGAATGGGAAAAGTGGGCGTGGTGCACGCAAGCAGAGAAAGGTGGGAGGAGATTTGTGACCTTCCTTGCACACTTCCTCAATGACTTTACTTGTGGGAAGATGGCAGGAAAAGTTGCAAGTGGTGGTCATATGAACTGTGGGATGCTGCACCTGGTCGCAAGTACAAGGCACCTGAGTTTTGTTCGTGGGATTGTGGGGGCAGTGGAATGGTCCGAACTTTGAGTACCAGTTGCAAGTCCTTTCATTTAGTGCCACCATAACTTTGAGTGGTTGCTGAACAAATGGTGCTTAAGGACTACCTGTATAATGGAAGGGATAATGTTTTCTGTCATTGTGAATAAAATTTGCTCTTATCTACATAGCCTTGTGCAGTTTCTGATCCTTGGTCATATGGAAATTTTAGTTGTTATTTACAGTGGGCAGTATTGGATATCAATGGCTTTTATATTCTGAATATTTATGAGGTTAATAACTAAAAAGTAAATTAAAATTAAGTTCATAAAACATATGGATCACTGATTAAATTAGTTTGAAGAAAATAGTCTCTAAAATAGGTTCTATTGTTTGTTCAAGTAAAACTTGTATACCTCATAGATGCAGACCAGCAATCTGTAGATAAGGGCCACTATCATCATCTTTTGCAAGTCTTCCATGGAAGTTTCATCGTCTATTTCTTCTATAATGTAGTGCATAGCAAACTTTGAGATATCCCTGCATCAAAAATATAATACAATATGTGATACTATGAATAAGCAATACTACTCTACATATAGCTTAGAGGTAATATCACTTTAAATGGAAATATTTTTATTTAGTGGACTTTTTTGTTTCAGAAGACTATTCAGGGTACAAAAGATATGTATTTTAAATTTGGAAAACTAATAGCAAAACATATTGCCAAAGAAAATGGCATCTGAGGGCTCTTCTATACATTTTGCTTGCTCTGGCATGACAACGGCTCACAAATTGTCTCTTGAGGAGAGGAACATATGACACTTTTGCCTAACTTTTGCCTATATTTTCTTGATTTGCATTAAAGATAATGTTTTCTGATTTTAGCTGGCAGAAGTGGTGGCTTAACATGGCGGCTTTGTTTCATTTGGCTGCTAGCAAATGTCTAACATGGCAGAAATGTCTTCCCCTCTTGTCGCCAGTTCTTCAGAGCCATTTTGTCCTGAGCTGCTGGATTGCCTGCTCCCTTCTGAAGGGGCCTTTCCACAGTGGAAAAATAAATCTATGGCAGGGGTGTCAAACTCGCAGCCCGCAGGCCGCATGCGTCACGCATAGGCCACGCCCACCCCAGCTCTGTGATGTAATTGAATTTCACACCCGTGATCTATGGGCTCTTCCCCTCTCTGAGGTGAACTGGTGAAATGCTGGCTGGATCTTTTTTCTTTTAATAGGTTTACTAATGGTCTGAAGAAAGACTCGGCTCTCTTTTTAAGGGGCTCTAGTACACTGGTAGGCCTTTCTGTGTCTTTTTTAGATTGGGTGAAATGAACAACAGTTCTGCTAATTTCCCTTTGCAGCTGAAATAGGAGATAGAGAAGTCCATATTTTCTGTGGTATTTTCTTTGGAGAAAGTACAGAAGCGGGGAAATTTATCCCATGGCAATTGCCATCCCAACAAAACATCCAGACAGCATCACTGCCAAAACAGAAGAACAGATAGAAACATGGACACAATATATTTTTTAAAACTTTATCAGTTTTTATTCCAACCTGTTTGAACACAGGAGACAAATAGTTGAAGCTGCCATGAAAATACCCTTTACTTTTAATTTTTTTTAAGAAGAAAATATATACTCATTTCTTATGATCCCTGCCTGCAGTATGAAATAGAATAGTTTACTGTACTGAGAACTAAATATATAACATAGTAATTTACAACAGATATAATGAAGCTGATTAAACACATTATGTACTGTGCAACTTACTTTATTCCACTTAAGTGCATAATACTCAAAACTATTGATGCCTTGATAAAGAAAAGAATAAAGAAGTCCACCATCTCTGCTATAAATCGATGAGCCAAAGATGGGATTATGTATTCATGACCTGAACAAAAACAGATAATTTATTTTGCATTAAATATCATAGAACAAACTCTGTAATATAAGGTCAGATATTTAAACATTGCATTTTACACACCAATTTACATTTCAAGTGATAATATAATAAACTCATGCTTAAGAAGTTAGGGACACAACTTTGTATTAGGTTACACATTTTACTACAGACCATTATGAGATCTTTTGATATAATTCTGCCCTTCCAAAGGTAGCTGCAATGTTCACGAGGACTTCACAAAGGGTTGAACTCTACCCATATTCTGGTGTCATGCTGTTGTCAGACAATTCATTCAGACTTAAGGCCCAACCTGAAATTCCAAGCAGTTTCTCATAAGACATCATAAACCTTTCTTTACTAACTATAGCAGGGGTGTCAAACTGCCGGCCCATGGGCCGGTTTCATCATACTGAAGCCGCGCCCACCCCATTGCCGGCAATGGCAAAACTGGCCCGATACATTGCGCGACATCATGTGACGTCGCGAGTTTGACACCCCTGAACTATAGGGCCAATCTTGCTCCTTTAATTTTTATTCCCCCCTTTATTATTTTAACAAATAACTCCAGGCAGCAAACTTATCCAACACGCCTTCTTCTCCTCCTATTTCCCCCATAACAACAACCTTGTGTAGTGGGTTGGGCGTATGCCAGGATTTGCCAGGATTGGATCACTGTAAATAGAGAACCAGAAGACTCTTGGTGTTAATTGGTGATCTCATCCATAGCCACGCTCTTTAAAAGAGTAGCAGCACACCTTACACCAAGAAGCCATGGTACCAGAGACTGATAAGAGAAACCCTATGTGGAATCTCTCATTTCAGAGACACAGAAATGAAAAATTCAAAGCTCAATAGTATTGTTACCTAATACTGTTAAGCAATACTAATACTGTTACCAGGAATGCAGAACCATATACAAAACCACTGTACTACACCCATTAAAGTACTTCAGTAAGTATCAGTTCCTGGCCACCATTCTCAGCAGCAAACCAAGAGCTCTTCTCCATTGTCCAATTGGTAAGGCTAATAGTATATCTAATTGTTTATTACAGTCATAGATCAGGATAGAGACAGATATAGGAAAAAGCAGTCTGCTCATTTCTCTGCTGTTATTTTTTAAAAATTCAAAATTGAGCAATGAATCCAGTTTCATATAACTGGACCGATGGAAGGAGACTTCTTCACTATGGTATTCCTACTGCAACCTTTCATGATCACCGAAAATGATATTCGGTGGGGAAAACAACTCATGAATAGATAGACTGCTGAATAAGAGGCTGAAGCAGTAGGATAGAAATCTTTCAAAACTCATCAAATGTACCTTCCAAGAACAGAGCTCCATCTCAAAAGATTCCTCAACCCAATTTTTAAAGGTTGTGTTATTCCCATTGTAGCTTTCTTATCATGTAAGATTCTTTGTCTCTTTAAGTGGTAATTTCATTTCATTTATTTATTCTATTTGTACATCACTGAATCAATACAGTACAGACTCTCACTCTCAGCAATCTACAACAAAAACATCTGCAATATTTCAGGCATCCGCAATAAACACAAATATGGTAAATTACTAAAAAGCTACAAGGAGAAATAATGAAAAGTAAAACAAGTCATACCCAAACTAAAAAATATTAGCAAATAAACCACTGCAAATAATCATAATGACATACATTAAAGTTCACGATAACAAACATTTCAACCGAATGATCTCCGGAAAAGTTTTATTTTTATTCGTTTCTGGAATGTTGGGAGAAATGGAAAATGAAGAAAAGAATAGTCTACAAGGGCTGAGCAACAACTGAAAAACAGCGCATCGTGACAAGCATCTTCCCGGTTTTATGAAAGAGGGCATGAACAAAAGCTTCTCCTGAGAAAATTCAGCAAGTGATGGAAAGTAGGGCTGCTCTGAGGGCAGGAGCAAGTATATCAGTACAGTTATATGCATATATGCAGTATTGTATTTCATTTTCTGTATTTAGGGTGCACTCATACTGCAATACAGTGTATAATTCATTTATTATATTCATCTATCATTCTTCACAAGCACTTTTGCCACACACTTCTAGAATGGCCCCACTAATTTTAACCGTCCAAGGTTGAATGAAATGATTTAGGTGTGCTCTTTTTGTTAATCAAAGGTCAAAGAGAGTGAATTGGCGACTAACCTGCTCTTCCAACTGAAAAGAGAGAGAAGTTTAAGAGCAATCCTGTTTTTTTAAATCCTCCTTTCCACTACATCCATAGAAAATAAACAAAAAGAGCCATTTGATTTTAGCAAGAGGCTAAAATAAGAGGATGACTGTTTCCTGTTTAACCCGGCCTTATGTCTGCAGGATTTATGCATAATCTCTTACATGGCAAGAGCAATGCTGCTGCATTATGATAATGGGACTTGTAGCATCTGTAGACCTAATACATTCTTCATTATTCTTTCCGCCCAACCTCATTGGGTTCACATTGTCTCCATGCTCATCTGGGTTTATGCACGCCAAAACTATGACATCTCAGCTACTGTACACAGTTACGTACGCGGCTACGGGGCTTGAGTTTGGCTAGTCTAAAGAAAAGAAGAAATAGGAGAGACATGACAGCAGTGTTCCAGTACCTAAGGCAAGGGTGTCAAACTCACAACGTCATGTGTTGCGACGTATCATGACTTTTTTTTACATTGCCAGCAATGGGGTGGGCGTGGTTGCGCTATGATGCATCCGGCCTGCGGGCCGGCAGTTTGACACCCCTGATCTAAGGGGCTGCCATAAGGCAGAGGGGGCCAGGTTGTTCACCAAAGCACCAAATGGAAGGATGAGAAACAACGGTTGGAAACTGATCAAAGAGAAAAGCAACCTGGAATTAAGGAGAAACTTCCTGACAGTGAGGACAATCAACCAGTGGAACAGCTTGCCTTCAGAAGTTGTGGGTGCTTCATCATTGGAGTTTTTAAAGAAGAGATTAGACATTCAACTGTCTGAGATGGTAAAGGTTCTCCTGCTTGAGCAGGGGGCTGGACTAGAAGACCTCCAAGGTCCCTTCCAGCTCTATTCTTTATTCTACTCTATTCTAATTCCATTATCTGATAAAAGTGGATCCTCGTCTGCAAAAGCTTTTGTTCTACAAAAAGTAAATGAGTCTTTTAAGATACCACAAGCTTTTTCATAAAAGAGTCACCTCATTGTGCAGTAAACACACCTCTCTCCCTTTTACAGACTTCTACTTCAGCCCTGACTAGAGAGGTAGGAAGTCACTGGTGTTTCCTGATGGGTTAAGGCTTCACACGCACTCTAGCCCAGGGCTTTTCAACCAGTGGTACGGGTACCACCTGTGGTACAGTGGCACCTGGCAGGTGGTACGCGACCATCCTAGAAAAATGGTAGCGGGGAGGGGAATAAGCTGAACCGATGGCAGCACCGCACAAGCCTGAGCGAGAGATGGATGGAGCTGCAGGGCTGTCAGGGCTGAGCGGAAGCACCAGGATCAGTGCCAGGGTCCAGCTGGAGCTCGGCGCTGATCCTGGTGCTTCTGCTGAGCCCAGAAGAAGTGCCGATTAGCTGGAATGTTGCAGCATCTCCAGGGTCTTGTGATTTACATTCAGATGCTTGGCAACTGATTCATATTTATGATGGTCACAGTGTCCTAGGGTCATGTGAAGTGACCAAAACCTGCTGCAATCACCCAGCAGATGGGGGGAATAAAAACCAAACACCCCCCACCCCACCCCCGCTGCCAATCCTCAACAGAAATGCTCACAACAATGAAAACCTCGGACAGGAGGAAGAACGCCACCAGGTGGGCAGGCAGGTGTCTTGCTCGGCTGTGGCTTGGGGGGCACTTTTTTCAGTGCCATTGTAACTTCGAACAGTCACTAAGCGAACTGTTGTAAGTCGAGGACTACCTGTACTTTATCACTTTTTTCCTTTTTTTTTTTTTTTTGGTTATCAAGTTTTTGACACCTTGCTAGGCGACTGGTGGTACTCGGATGTTGCCATATCCTAAAAGTGGTACAATGGGTGAAAAGGTTGAAAAGCCCTGCTCTAGCCAACACCGGCCAGGGTGAACAGAAATGAGCTCCAAACATCTCTCGGGAATCGAACTGCTCACCTTCGCACCATCCTCTCTCACCTTCGCACCATCCTCTCTATCCTCTCCAAAGCGTTCAACGCCTTCTGCCGAGTCTTCTCTCCCCCCCCCCCCCTTCTTCTTCTTCCTTTGGCTGAACGACTCACCTGCTGGTCGGCCAGGCTCCCGTCGGGAACCGCCGGCGGGGGCAGTGACGGTGGGAGGAGTGGGGCGCTGGGCCGGGGGCCCGTGTCGAACTGCGGGCGGCGGCCAAGCCGGGGTCGCGCGGGCCGGAGCGGAGCCGGCTTCGGGGGCAGCGGAGGGGGCCAGGAGGTGATAGCAGGGGCTGCTGCTGCTGCTGTAGAAATAGGCGCCGGGGGGCGGGGCCGAAGCCGCCGCGTTCGCGGCTCCGGCCATGAGCGCGGCCAGGCCGCTCTGCCAACTGAGGTAGCCGCAGTACGAGTCCCAGAGCCACTGGTGCACGCGCCTGGAGTATTCCCCCGCGCTGATCGCCTCCTCTTCTTCTTGGGCCCGGGAGCCGCCGCCATCATCCCTCGGCGCCTCTGCCATGGCCCGGCCCGAAAGCCTTCTCCGCCCGTGCTTGTGGCAGGACCTGCCTTCTGCACTGCGCAAGCGCGAGCCCGTCAGCAAATTGCCTCTGCTCTCGCTTGAAGGCGAGACGGGCGGCTGGAAACGGGCTCTCCTCCCCGCAGCGCGAACGTCACTGGCCGCGGGGGCAGGCGAAGGGCCTGAGCCATCTTGGCCGCTGTCTTTCCGGGCCCCGACGCTGACAGACAATCCCCCCCCCCTTCCCCACTTCCCAGCCGCTATCTGAAGGAGAAGGGCGGCGGTGGTGGTGAGGTGTTACGAGCGGTTTATTTATACTCAAGATTCTCAGTCGGGTGTGACTGATAGCAAGAGGCGGTGCAAGTTGTCGACCCAGACGGCGGGCGGGCGGGCGGGCGGGGTGGGTGGGTGGAGGGCGCGGTGTGTGTGAATGACTCTCTTGACCGCCGCCGTGACGAAATCCTCGCTCGGAT